CAGTGATGTTCTAAGCTTTGGCTTCAAGAATTTCTTTGAGATTTCCTAGGGCAGGGGGTTTATTCATGGCTGCAAGTTACGGAGGATTCTCCTATTCCAACGTTGGAAATCAATAAGCCAAGGTGGGTTATGCTTGATCTTGAACCTTTTTCATGGTTGTTTCCTAATCTAAAATGTTCCTACTTTAAAACCGTGACGGCCACGCACTTCCTGACCAAGGATATCATAATTTGACTTTTTCCACTGATAGTGTTATTTTATTTCACATCATAAATTCTTAGCTCCTACACTTTTCTTCTCATGATTCTAGTCGCCTTGTTTTCAAAAACTCGGTTTAATATCTTAGAATCAAGATTTTTATTGTTGACTATATATATATATAAAGTTTATTGATTTTAAAATTTTAAGATATATTTAAAAACTCTTTGAGAATTTGATTAATAACTTAATATTAAGCAAATATGAAGAATGGAAAAGGTTTGACTACGTAAAGTCCAAACAAGAACAATATTTAGGAAAGAAACAATTATTATTAATTTATTACTATTTTTGAATGTATTTCATGCGTGTGCTATATGAGAAAATTTTGATGTTTTAAGATAAAAAACAGAAAGAAATATCCCAACTCATTTTGATTTTGAGTTGAAAAAGTTCCCCATGACGCAAGGAGTGACCCAAACACACCGAAGCAAAATTTTTCATAATTTTAATATAATAATAACTTATTTATTTATACTTATATTTAAAATTAATTGTTGAGTGTGGTCCCATAAATTAAGTGACCTTAACCTCATTAATAAAATTATATAAAAGTCGAATAAATAATTATTCAGTTTTTAAATGTATTATTTTTAATTATTTAACAAGCATAAAAATATCACCAAACGAAAAATCCCGAAGACAACCTTGTCCCTATGGAAAAAAGGGTTGGGATCCCAATCCAAATCCACGGTGTGGAGATCCCAAATCCAATCACTGACCCGTCGGTCATTCAAACTTCGAAGACACGTACCCCTCCCACCAATCACAGCCCATCTTATCCCCCAAGCTTTCTTCTCGACCGCCCGATTAAAATCC